CAGCGTCGGACGCGGAAGGCGGCTCCGGTGTGTGCGCCTGTCCCCCGCGGCGGTGGGGTCGGTCGTAGGCTCGGGCAAGCACCTGGGCGGGCCTTGCCCTCGTTACTTTGGCCCCTGCGCGGAGAGAAACCCCGGCCCCACCTTGGAGCTCCCAGGCTGGGGATCGCGAGTGGGGTCTCCGGGCTTCTACACTGACAAGGGGGAGACAGAAAGATGGCCCTGGCCCTGCCCGCTCGGTTTCCAAACTGGAGGTCAGGCCGTCGCTGCCAGGGTGCCAGGCTGGCAGCTGAGGACAGGGAACGCGCCCAGGCCCTGTCCTTGGGGCTCTCAGTCGAGGAGGGCTCTGGCTGCCTGGGAACCCCATCTCGGTGAAGTGGGACGTTCGTTAGATGTGCTGCACGTCCAGCTGTGAAGAGCGGATGATCTGAGGCAGGGAGTACCTTTGGCTGGGGACCCGGGCCAGGTTTGCTTTCAGATGAGTTTGGCTGCGTCAGGAAGGGACAGGGAGCTAACTGCCGGTGTCTGCTTCCTCCACATGCTGGCAGACATTAGCCTGGGAGCATGAATGAAACTACACTGAGAGGAGACCTGAGAGAGACTCCAGGGTCCCTGCCTGCCCCCAGGCACAGCCTCCTGTACTACTAGCTGCTACAGGACTGAGAAGTCCTCCTTTCTGCCTGAACTGTCTTGAGTTGGCTGTTGTCACTAAAGATTCTCTCCACACCACTGAGTATGCATGGACCAGCAGAGTGCTGGTGTAAATTTGGCCTGGTACCTGAGGGCAGGGCTGGTTCTCCATCTAGTGAGGACCTTGATTCCCCTCCCTCCCCCCATGCCTGCCACCCGGCCCAGTGTCCTCAGCCTAAGGAGCTCCCATCCCTGGCAAGAATCCCTGCCAACCTGCCCTTTCCCTCCAAGTTTCCTGCCCACTCCACACTGCCCACGTCACTGCTCCTGACCCAGCGTCCTCTGTTTTTTGAGGGCCTGTGATCCACCCAGACTTCTCCCCACATGGGTTCAGAACTCCAGAAAGCCACTTTCCTCAGCCCACGGGCCTGTTGGCTTCCTCCATCAGTCCTTTCACCCCCGTGCAGCCTGCCTTCCATGGCATCTAATCCTAACTCCAAGCCCTCCTATCTCTCTGTTTTCCTCACTGTCCCCATCTGGCAAAACCTAGCCATGTACAATCCTGACCATCTACGTCCTCCAGCCCTGCATCTACCATACAGGGCAGAGTGATCAACAGTGCCTTGGGTTGGAGAACACCCCCCACCGCTTGCCCAGCCCTCAGATATCTGGTCAGCTGTCTTCTGGTCTGTACTCACCTCAATCCTCTGACTTCCTCTTCCATGTCTCAAGGATGGTCAGCCACCCTTCCTCCCCAGAGAAAAAAGATGGATCAGATGGGAGAACTATGTCCCATCACCAAGCCTCAAGCCCGCCTCGCTCACCCACCCCACTTCCCATAGTTAGCACAGAGACCTGTTCCTCCAATCTGGGTATGATGACAAATACCTGTTGTTTCAGCACTTGGGAGGCTGAGGCAGGAGGCTCACCATGAGTCCAAGGCCAGCCTGGGCTACATAGCAAAAATGTCTCAAAAAACCTGTACCTCCTGCCCTCCCATCCACCTTCCACTCTTTGCTGTCAGTGTCCCCACTGCACTCAGTCTCTCTCTCTCTCTCTCTCTCTCTCTCTCTCTGGGATCCTCACCGTCAGTATTAAACTTCACTCTCCACCTTAACACATTCAAACAGACCCCCTGTGATGGGGCTACCACCCTTTGGGCTCTAAGCACAGCTCTGTAAAATATTCCCCAGTATCACCAGCATCACACAGCCCTCCTTAGCTGAGTCCTGGCTCCCCTATGAATTTCTTGCCCACTTTCTACCTGTTTCTGTAGTCATGGTACTGAAGTGGATAGCCCAGCACCCCCAGAAGCAGCTTTTCCAACTAAGGGTAATGAACAAAGCACTTGGGGCTCCCTCCAAGGAAACACAGACACTTGTATACAGCAAATGCCAAAAATGCATCATGCAGTGGGGCTCGGGGCCATAGGGTGAGCCTCTAATCCAGGTAGGATGAGCAAGGGCATGATGAGCAGCCAGGCTAGAGCCTGAGGACCAGAGGCTCGACCCCAGCCCTGCAGTGGCCTTTCGGAGAGGTGGGGCCCCGGGCTCACAGAGGCACTGACTGTTTTGTCACGTCAGTGTCTAAAGGAAAGAATGTATTGCTTCTGCCCATGGCCTCCAGATGCTCACCTTCCCTGAGGAAGATGGGAAGTTTAGTTCGATTCTCCTTATTGGTGGGATGAATGGTAAGGTAAGTATTTGTGTTTTTGGAAAGGATGCTGGCAGCAGTATAGAGGTAGACTGAGGGTGGAGTGGAGGTGCTGGTGAGAGCAGGCCAAGCTGCAGACTCGGTTCTACCCTGGGGTCCTCGGCTTGTCCCTTTGCTGCTGTCCCTTCAGAGCTGGCTCCCTCTGCATTCTCTCTGGATGATGCTCACTGTACTCCTAGAACCTCATCTCTAAACCCTCAAATCCATGCTCTCCCTGGCCCTGTCTTCGATCCTGGACCCACGAAGCTGGGGGCCGACCTGACAGACACCACTGCCTGGATGTCCCTCAACAGGCCAGCCGCATCACGTGTAAATCATAACCTCCTCTGCCTCCAGCAGCTGCCTGCATCTGCAAACAGGAGGGCTAGGACCTGGAACAAGGGCCTCCTGTGCACTCCCTCCACTGCTCACAGCACCCACTTCTGCCAGCCACCTGCCTCTCTGCCCTATGTTTACCTGCCTTCGTGGCCACCACTCCACTTTCCTGACATAAATGAGACCATTCCTTCCCCAACCGGTATAAATAAATAAATAAGCAGGTGAGAATCAGCTGATGCTTCCCTGCCCTCCAGTGTGCCCTGATCCCAACACTCCTTGATGTATTCATCCGAAAAATGTTTATTGAACACCTTGGTCTGCTCAGCAGGAGGGACAGAGGTGGCCAGGTCTTACAGGAGACCCACAGCGGGGTGACACTGTCAGAAGTACCTGTGGGTGGGCAAAGAGACAACGGTCCCCTCTCAGAATGACAAAGGAGAGAATGGATTACAAAAACCAAGGGTGCAAATTTTGGGGAGGACTCAGCAGCTGTCAGCTTGTGGCAGCAGGGGCTTCTTGCTCTTGAGAAGACTGGAAATCCCCTAATTTCACTTTAAAGGACTAAGTAAATCACAGAATACCAGTTTTGAAATACGGCCAGCCTGAAGTAGGAGTGGGGGGGTCTCTCTGTTTGGCTGTTTTAACATATGTTGTACTTGGGTGTGGGTGTTGCACCCCCAGAATACACCCGCCTACAGGAGAGAGGGGTCAGGCATGGACTCCCCGCAGTGAGGGCGCGGGACCCCCGGGAGAACCGCTGCCGGCGAGGGGAGGGTCTCACTTTCCACTCTAAAATTTCCTACAAAAACCACACCCTGCTTTGCTAAGCAGGCCTGTAGAGACCTTGAAGAGGGCTGGAAAGATCCTCGCGGGGAACAGAGTGGCTCTCCCAGGTGGGGCCGCTCCACCCCCCGCGCTGAGAGGTGGCCGAGGGGGGTCGCCCCAGCACCCACCCTTCGG